GACCCACCTATCAACCTCCCCATCTATCCACCTATCCATTTGTCCATCCTTCCATCCGCGGGACCGTATGTTTGTCCATCCGTCGGAGCGGCTCAGAGCTCTACGCTGCCTTATGCTATTTCTTGCTGCCATCTAGTGAGCAGATATCTCGGGGAAATATATTCTCTCCTTGGACTCCTACTGGTACCAGTTGCTTCCAGGAGCTCAAGGCCAGAGGTGGAGGGCAGAAAGTGAAAGCAGCGATTTGGGGGATGATGCAGTGATGGGACAAGCCCTCTCTCCATCTCCTCTCACCTCTCCCTCTTTCCCACCGCAGGATGAGAAGAACCAGATGATGACCACGAACGTCTGGCTGAAGCAGGTAGGTGCCTGTTCCCTTGCTGGGGCGAGGGCAGGAGCATGTCGAGGAGGCCACAGCATTTGGGGCAGAGACACCCTACCCAGGGGGGCCTGGTGGCATCTCCATGGTGCTGTTCCTCTGGGGGATGCTGCCAGAGGAGGAAGAGGAGGAGGCACTGGGCAACTTGGTCCCACCAGATCCAGGGCTACCTGATGCCCTTCCCTCTCTGTTTCCCTCCAGGAATGGAGTGACTACAAGCTGCGCTGGGACCCAGCGGACTTTGACAATGTCACCTCCATCCGGGTGCCTTCTGAGATGATCTGGATCCCTGACATCGTGCTCTACAACAAGTGAGTGATGCTGCCGAGATGGGGCATCCATAGGGCCAGCTCCCCCCTCCTGTCCCTTCCCACTCCTGCCCAGCCCATCCCTGCCCATCGCTTTCCATCCCTTCTCATCTCTGCCCTATCCTGCCCACCCCCATCCCATCCCATCCCATCCCATCCTTTCCCATCCCATCCCATCCTTTCCCATCCCACCCCATCCCCATCCCCTTCCCATCCCATCACATCTCATCCCATCCCTGCAGCTCATCCCATCTCATGCCATGCCACACCACACCATGCCATGCCATCCCATCCTATCCCGTGCCATCCATTCCATCCCATCCCAGTAGCTTCTTGGTGCTGCCAGCCCCCTCAGACCCCTGCTCTCCATCCCACCCCAGTGCAAATCAGTCTGCATCCATCTCCCCATGCCCACTGCTCATGCTCCCACCCATCTCCAGGCTCTGGGTGATACCCAGGAGGGTGATCCCAGCACCGTGCAGGGATGCACGATGGGGCCACAGCCTTCAATCAAGGCTCATACCAGACCTGAGAGCGGAGGGAGCTCCTGGCCCTATTTCTTGGGGGAAAGACTTCATCCTCCTCTGACCTTCACATGTCTCCATCCCTGCAGTGCTGACGGGGAGTTCGCCGTGACCCACATGACGAAGGCCCACCTATTCTCCAACGGGAAGGTGAAGTGGGTGCCACCTGCCATATACAAGAGCTCGTGCAGCATCGATGTCACCTTTTTCCCCTTTGATCAGCAGAACTGTAAGATGAAGTTTGGCTCCTGGACCTACGACAAGGCCAAGATCGACCTGGAGAACATGGAGCACCATGTGGACCTCAAGGATTACTGGGAGAGCGGTGAGTGGGCCATCATTAATGCCATCGGCACCTACAACTCCAAGAAGTACGACTGCTGCACCGAGATCTACCCCGACATCACCTTCTGCTTCATCATCCGTCGCCTCCCGCTCTTCTACACCATCAATCTCATCATACCGTGCCTGCTTATCTCCTGCCTGACCGTGCTGGTCTTCTACCTGCCATCCGACTGCGGGGAGAAGATCACCCTCTGCATCTCTGTCCTGCTGTCCCTCACTGTCTTTCTGCTGCTCATCACGGAAATCATCCCATCCACCTCGCTGGTCATCCCTCTCATCGGCGAGTACCTCCTCTTCACCATGATCTTCGTCACGCTCTCCATCATCATCACTGTGTTTGTCCTCAACGTCCACCACCGCTCCCCCAGCACCCACACGATGCCCCGCTGGGTGCGCAGCTTCTTCCTCGACTTCATCCCTCGCTGGCTTTTCATGAAGCGACCCCCAGCGCTGCCTCCCCCCGAGGGGACAGCGGGGCAGTACGACCTCCCGGGGACGAGACTCAGCACCTCCCGGTGCTGGCTGGAGACTGATGTGGATGACAAGTGGGAGGAGGAGGAGGAGGAGGAAGAAGATGAGGAGGAAGAGGAGGAGAAGACGTCCCCCAGCCGCATATCCCAGGCGGGCTCCCATGGCCAGGGAGCCCAGTGCCGCTACGGCTGCGGGCGCCAAGCTGGGAAGACGTCGGGGGGCTCAGCCCCCCGGGTGCCCCCCAAGGGGGAGGAGGAGGAGGTGGGCTCAGAGCGGGGGCAGATGCTGTCCCCCAGCATCCTGAAGGCCCTGGAAGGGGTGCAGTACATCGCGGACCACCTGCGAGCCGAGGATGCTGACTTCTCGGTGAGTGGGTGCCCCCGAGGGCCGGGGGTTGGGCTGTTCCCTGGCTGCTGAGGACCCAAAGCCAGGGAGAAGATCGATGACCACCTCCTGGGAGGTGCCCAGTCCATGGGGTCAGCTGAGGGTCCCTCCATCTCCCGTCCCTGCTGGCTGCGGGGATGCTGGGGGTCCCTGTCCCCTGTCCTGCCCGTGCTGCCCTGCCCTCGGAGAGCAGCCACAGCCCTGCCTGCCCTGATGGGACCCAGCTGAGAGGCTGCACCCCTACTTTTAGCCGGGTGGTTTCCCTGGGTGGGATTAGCTCTGCCTCCAGCAGCCCCCCCAGAGAGGTCCATCCCTGCCACGCCAAGGATTCCCCGAGACGCGGGGTTATCTCCTGGCCCTGGGGCAAACAGCCAATGTGGAGGGAGCCCTGGGTGCTCTCCTAACTCCACGGGGTCCTCACAAACTGGGGGCTGCATCCTTTGCCTGCGCTCACAGCCCCCTCTCTGCTCGGCAGGTGAAGGAGGATTGGAAGTACGTGGCCATGGTGATCGACCGCATCTTCCTCTGGATGTTCATCATCGTCTGCCTGCTGGGCACCGTGGGGCTCTTCCTCCCGCCCTACCTGGCGGGGATGATCTAGGGGCCGGGCCAGGCTGCGGTGGGGACCGCTCCCTCCTCCCAGGGAGCAGGCACGGTGGTGCCCACATCCAGCCAGACCCTTGCGTCTCCCTGGGAGGACGTGGTTGCAGCCATGGAGGACCTTTGGATGGGAAAGACAGCAAGAGCTGTGCCCAGGGATGAGATGGGGATTGGGGGGAGGCATCGACGAAGGCACGGTACCGCTTCTCCATTGCTCAGGCTGGAGGTGTCTGGGGGGGGCATCTGCTTCCTCGAGCTGCTGAAGTCCAACCCAAAACCCAAGAGCTGCAGCTGGTGGTGACTCCAACCGGCTGGGCAAGAAGAGAGGACAGCCCAGCTGCTTTGGGACACATCCTGACCGCAGGCTGCTCGGGATCACAGGCTGGTGCATTCATGCAGGACATGGGGCAGGCAATAACGCTTCGGGGGGGCTGTACCGAAGGGGCACAGTCGTGGGATGGAGGTCCCCACTTGCGGGTCTTTGCTCTGCAAAGCCCAGCCCAAGCACACCCAGCCCAAGCACGCCGACGCTGTGCAACCCACCGGCACGAGAGCTCGCTTCCACACCATCCCACACCAGAGCCTGGACAGCAAGGGAGATGGGAACAGCCAAACCTGAAGTGTGAGTGGCTTGGAAGGTAAAAACGACCCTGCAGAGTGGGGTAACCCCCCCAGCCACGGCCAGGTGGTATCCATGGACCCCGGGAGCTCAGGGGTGCTGCCTTGGGCTGGGGGACTTGGCTGGTGCGGGGCAAACCTCCACTGCTGAGGTCCATCCTGAGCAAATCCCCCTCTCCATCCCATGCCAGATCCCGACTCCTCTGGCTCTGACAACTGCTGCAATCCAGCTTTTAACTTGGAGCTTCCATGCACCCTGAAGGACCCACGCTTCCAGAGCATCCGCTCTCTTCTTCCACACCAGGAGAGCCTAACCCAGCACACGTGGGCTTCAGGGCTCCACCGAGCCAGGACTGTGCGGGTGGAAAGAGCTCTCCCATGAGGATGATTTCGGGCTTGGCTGGGGCTGCCTCTCCCTGGGGGGATGTGGGGGTTTTGGCTGGAGGTGAACGGGGCGGGATGCCCGGCACCCCCGGCGCTGCCAGGCCATGGCACGCAGGACTCCAGCAGACCTCGGGGCGATGGGGCAGAGGGGGAACCTGCTCCCCTTCCCACACCAATCCCTGCCGCCCCCCTCGCCAGCCCCAGCCAGCACCCACCGCCCCTCCCAGCTCAGCCCCTCCTGGCTGATGAAGCCACCGGGGCACAAGCTCCGGGGTGACCCCCCCCCAGTGTGACATTAGACCCCCCAGAACCCTTCTTTTGGGGGAAAACCCATCTCCGTGGCTGTGCTATCCCACATCAACCGCTTCCCAACAGCCTCCCCCAGGAATTGCCCGTGATTTCCTTATGGCCTTGGAAAATCAAAGGTCTGCAGATAACCTCATCAAGCCAGCCTTGGGGTGGGGGGAGCCGGGGGAGTCCAGGACCCTTGTACGGATTGGGGGCTCAGCGGGAGGGAAATGGGGCTCCAGAGAGGACGTGGGTGCAAGCAGACCCGGGTTCACCCCAGCAACTCCCCCCAGGGACGCTGCCACCACCGTGGCGAGGTGGCCCAGAGCCCTGAGCAGCCCAACCCTTTTACCCTTCCTAAGGAGGTGCTGGTGACCAGGGAAGTGGTCCCCACCGCTCCGGGGGTGACAGGCAAGCACGGGCACAGCAGGGCTTTGCGCATGGTTTATCTCAGCCAGAATGAACAGCGCGGTGGGAAGATGCTGGGGAAAAGCCCGAACCGTAGGGTTTCCAACTCAAAGCACAAACCGGACAGAGACTTGGTTTGCCGTCGTCGCTTACACAGAGCAGCTCGGAGAAAACTCAGCTGGAAGAGGCACCGCTCTCCTGGTTTGTGTCACCGAAGGCTGCGGTCCGCCGGGTCCCATCCCTCCCCCGGCCACGGGCGCCGGGTCGTTGTGCCCCCTGATGACCCGCCGCCTGCGGCCGGCCGTCCTCGCAGGGGTGGAGGGACGGACACACGGACCTGCTGGCAGCTGGGGAGCAGGGAGCCGCTGAGCCCGAGGGATCTTCAGCAGCCCTCGGGGATGGCCAGGTCCCCCCCAGCCCTTTCCAGGGACGAGTCACCAGATGCCTCCCTTCTTCGGAAGACCGACGAGACGATGCTAAAGACACGAGCGGCTGCAGGAGGAGGGGGGACAGGGAGGGCAGGACAGCGAGGCCACGGGAGACACAGAAAAGCCAGCTCCTCCGCAACGCTCTCCTCCCATCTCCGCCGACTGAAGCACGGCGGTCCCTCTCCTCTTCTCCTTCCCCACCCCTTCTCCTTCCCTCTCTCCGCCCCTGCCCCTCACTCCAAGCACAGCTTCACTAGGTTGGCCTGGACCTTGGCTTGGTCCACGGCATCCAGGAGGTTCTTGGCGTCCACGGCCAGGGTGTGGGAGGCCGTCAGCATCTGCCGCTTGCATTCCTCGCTCAGCGAGGTGACAGCGTTCTGCTGTGCCAGGCGCATCTTGTTGATGAGGTCAGCCAGGTCCTTGTTGAGCAGCTTCTGGGTCCCCTCAATCTGAACATGACACGCAAGGGTTACAGACATGGGTGCCACCAACACCCGACCCCATGTCAGACCCCTCTCCCTCCTCCCTGGTCCTACCTCGGTGCGGGAGGTGGCGGGCAGGATGGGCAGAATCTCGTCGACGCTGCCGATCAGCTTCCTCAGGGACAGGCCCACGTTCTGCGGGGAGGGCGGCAGGGTTGGGATGACTCCAGGCATGGGGAAGTGGTGCATGGGAATAGTCTGTGCCACTGAGTCAAGGATCCCATTCAGGAGAGGGGCAATAGTGGGAGGCTCTACCACCGTTGAGGTCCACAAGGACCCAACAGAGGAGCAGGGTGTGTTGGAAAGTCTCTCATTGTTGACCCAAGGACCCCATGGAGAGCAGAAAAAGTTGGAAACGCTCACATCATTGACCCAAGGACCCCATGGAGGAGCAGGACAAATTGGAAATTCTCCCAACCTTGGCCCAAGGACCCAATGGAGGAGAAGGGCATGTTGGAGACTCATCATTGACCTAAGGACCCAACGGAGGAGCTGGGAATGTTGGCAATGCTCCCTCCTACATGTGCAAGAGCTTCCTGAGAAGGATGCTTGGTAGGAGTCGCTCAGCAGATTAATTCCTGACTCTCTCCCCCCATTCCCCTGCTGCTGCCCCCTCCCTACCTTCACCATGAGGATGTAGCCCTCCGGGGGCAGGAGGCTGATCTCATTCTTCAGCTGCAGCACAGCCCGCACCAGGTCCATGACGTTGCTGTACACCATGTCATCCGTGCGGTCCAGGTTGGCGGTGGGGGCCGGGTGGATGGACTGCTGGGGAATGGGGACACGATGGGATCAAATGGACCAAGGGGGCAAGGAGGGAAAGACCAACACCCATGAAGAACCCTGGCCAGACCCATCTACCTCCCACCCACACCTCCAGTGCTGCTGGGTCTGCCTGACCCCTTTGGGGGAGTCAGAAAAGTCCCATCCTGCAGCTGCAGAGGGATGATGGAGGTGGGGAAGGAGGACTGGGACCGTGGTGGCCCCATCCAGGGAGGTCTTACCTGCGCCCCAAGTCTTGGAGGCTTCTGGGGGGGCCCCGTGAACTCCGCTATGCCATCAGTAAGGGAAAGGAAAGAGAGTCACTCTGGCTGCTCCCCTGGGCACTCGGGCACGCTGTGAGACCCCAGGGACCTGTGCCACCTCCCCCCCACACCTCCCTGGAGCAGCGTGTCCCCCCGGGGCTGGTCACCCTGGCTCACCCCAGGTCTGCCCCCTCCCCACAGGGTCAGACCCCCTCGGCCCCCCCTCAGCAAAGCTGCTCCCCACAATCTGGGATTTCTTCCATGGCGGATCCCGAAGCCAGGAGGGATACGGCCCCGAGGCTCCTTGCAGCTCAGCGCAGGGCTCCCCGCTTGCAGCCCCAAAGGGGGGGCTCCCAGCTGTGGACCGCGGGCAGCCCCCCACCCCCTGCAGCTGTGGGCACTCACTGTAATCCGTCTCCTTCTCCGGCAACAGCTGGGGGGGGAAGAAACACCAAATGAGAGGCTCAAAGTCCCGGCTGGAGGCAGCGAAGAGGCCATCCCCTCGCGGGGCTTCTGGTGGGGCTCTCTGGACCACCAGTATTCCATCCCATCAACAGTTTCCGATTAATCTTCCCAATGCAAGGGGCACATATACAGAATCATAGAATCCCAGAATCCCAGGTTGGAAGGGACCTTAAGGACCATCGGATCGAACCTTTCTGGGAAGAGCCCAGCCCAGACAAGATGGCCCAGCACCCTGTCCAGCTGAGCCTTGACAGTCCCCAATGTGGAGGAGTCAACCCCTCCCCTGGGGAGATTATCCCAATGGGTGACTGTTCTCATGGGGAAAAATTTCCCTCTCCTGTCCAATGGGAATCTCCCCCAGAGCAACTTGTGTCCATGCCTCCTTGTCCTCTCCATGGGACTCCTTGTGACAAGGGAGTCTCCATCTTCCTTGTAGCCACCCCTTAGGTACTGGGACGTGGTGATGAGTTCCCCTCGGAGCCTCCTTTGCTCCAGGCTGAACAAACCCAGCTCTCCCAGCCCATCCCCATCTGGCTGAGAGAGGCTTCCCAGCCCTTGGATCCCCTTGGTGGCCCTGCTCTGGCCCCCTCCAGCCTGCCCACATCCATCTATATAAATATCTATCGCCTGTCCATGCCAAAGCAGATGAGGATCTCCAGACACCCCCAGGAGAAAGACGCCCTGCACCCAAATACTCCCCAAGCCGGTCTCTCCAGGGCCAGCGCCACTCACCGGGGGAATGTTGTTGTTCATAAACACCGTCGGGTCCTGCAAAGGGGGAGAAGCTTTGTGAGAGGCACAGAAAAAAAGGAAAAAGAAAGGAAAAAAAAAGGGATTTTTCTGATTTCTGGGAGAGGCGTGAAACGCATCCCAGGAGCACAGCCCTGCAGGGTCTGGGAATGTGGGAGGGGAAGGGGCTTCACGCCCATGGTGGGTCCCATCTCCATCCCCTCCCATCCCCGCTCCCAGGGTACCAGAAACCTCAAAGTGCTGCTCCAAAAAAAAAATAATATGAAGCTTAATTCGAGCAGCTCTTTGCAGCCGCTCGGCAGCCGAGAGCCCCGGGGGCGCGGGGAGCTGGGCTTTGCTTTATCGCCTGCGTGAGTCGATGGAATAAAAGATTTTGGGTCTCCTTCCAAGCCTGTCTCACCGCAGCGATGCATGAGTCACCGTTCGCTCTCTCCAGTCCGTGTTTCCGAAGCCTTATCAGAAGCTCATTAAGGTGCAATTGCAAGTATTTCAAATTTGCCCAAGTTTCAAAATGCTCGTTCTGAAACGAAGCAGCTCCCTGGGATTTTTTAAGGGGTGCAGAAAAGAAAGGGGTGCAGGAGGTTTGGCTGCTGGAGGGGCTGTTCCTCCCAGGAAAAAGGGGCTTTTCCAGCCACGCTGAGCACCTCTATGGCTGCTATGGTTCCCCCATCACCTTCGCGAGGGTGCAAGAGTTGGGAGCCCCCGGCCCCAGGCTGCTCACCAGGGACTTCTCCTCCTGCCGCAGCCACTGGTAGTCCTCCACCATCTGCTTCTGCTGCTTGTCCAGGACCTGCTGCATCTTGAGCTTCTCCATTTCCCAGAGCTTCTGCGCCTCCTCCCTGCTGTTGGGACGGAGGAAATCTTCCTCCTGGTGTGCGGAGCCGGTGGTGACTGGGGGGAAGCTCAAGAGCCACCCCCCTTGATTTTGGCATGGGAGCCAGAGCCCCACTCCGTGCATGCAAACCGTGTGCCAGACCCCGACAGCCAGGGACCCCCAAACTGAATTTGGGGAGCGTTTGGGTTTTCAGTGGGGGAGAAGAGAACACCGGCTGGCCCCAAATTGCCCACCACCGCCTGCCGGCGCGTCCCACGGGCAGCAGCTCACCGGGCCCGCGGCGCGGCCATGAGTGGCACCGTGGCTGTCCCGGGGCAGCTCGGGGTGAGCCCCAACACCCAGCTCTGATTTTGGAGCCAGAGAAACTGAGCTCAGGCTGCAAACCACCGCGTGGCAGCAGGGGGCTGGAGACACCCCACAGCCTTTCAGGGGCTGGATCCCTCCAGCTTGCAAACAGCACCCACGGGGTGACAGGATTTGGCCCCCCCGCAGCTGGGTCGGGAGCGACACTGAGCTGGCAGCAGCGGAGGCGGCAGCACGAAGCGGAGCGTGGAGCAGCAAGCATCCTTCCACCGAGCCCTCGCCTCCGGTGAGGTCCCGGGAGCGGGATGTCATCTGGATGCGGTGGGATGGGGGGGGAACAACCCCCCCCT